TCAGCCCAGTATGTTTTATTAAATACCATATTATGATTTTCCCCATTCAGACTCCAACTAGACTTCTTGTTAAGGACATGGAAGGAAAACCTAATTAGCACTGCTCCAGTGCATCTAAATTAATTTCATCATGAAAATCAACAGAACAGGGGCTAGATGCTGTCAGAGAAAGGCAGACGGATGTGGAATGTAAACTGCTCTTTCCTCCACTCCTCCCGTCTCCTACCCCGCCCCTCCAAGTTCCATGGTTGGAAATCATCCTAGCATTTTTTTAGCCAGGATGTACTAAAATTAGATGGGAACAAAGGACTGACATTTTCATATTAGAGGAGGGGTTAGGAGAAAAATGTGAACTGGCAGCACCCACTCTCTTCCACATTTAGCCTCCTCACCCTGGCTATTCCGTCTTTGAAGGGGCAAGGGTGGCACCAGCAGGGGAACCACAACTAGCCCAACGGCGCTTCCACTGTGCTATAATCACAGGACGATAAACCGCTTCTTCTCTAAGTATGCTAATGACGAGCGATAAATACATTTCATGGTCCTCTTATTCAACCAGAGTATTTTCATATTTCTTTCTAAGCCCCTCAGATAATCTCCAGGATATGCTAATTGACTGACTCATGTGTAAATTTTTTGGTATTTGAGAAAACAAATGCTGGATTCACTTTTCTTAAAAAGCTTCTAGATAGCACGCACAATAAAAATCACTCACTAACATACTTATCATTGCCTGATGCAGTAACAACAATAAGTATTTTAAAATATAATATAGAAGAATTTATCATTTCTTCAGGATGGGCCACTTAAAAATGAAAAAAGTAGTTTGGTTTCTTTTTTTAATATATCTTCCTCCAATAAACTAGGCAAATAATTTGCAAATCTCTTGGTTGTAAGTCTTACAATGGTATCAGCATGACAAAAGTACATTCTGCCAGCCTCTACATCCCAGTTTTTGAAGTTTTACTCCATAAAAGCAGGATATTGATAGTCATGTCTTGAGATTTATTCCTATCTTTTTAATTTGGTTTCCCTGAGCCTAAACCACAGGTCCATACAGTGACAGCTCAAAATGCAGTTAGAAAAGCCCTTTTAATGATTAGTCTAATGCACTGTGTTGTAAAGATTTTTAAAACTCAGTAAGTACCGACTCAAGCTCTCTTTTTTTTTCTGGTTACTGGAGCCCATCTTGACATCTAAGCTGGAAATGAATGATCTTTCAACAACACTCCAGGGATTTTGCTAAGGTCATATTCAATCATTCATTAGGCTTCTTACCCCTCGCTTTTCAGGGTTCCATTGTAGAGCTGGTTTTATTCAGCATTTACGTAGCCTGTGGGCTTGGGGGTATTTGTCTGCTTAATGTTGAGTTTCATTTCTATGCCCCTAACATAGGAATCCATCAATTGACCAAAGAATTTCAAACTATTCTTTTACTTTTCTAACAAATTGCATGGTATGTATGAAGAATAAATTAGCATTAATTTTCTTCCATTAACTGTTAATAAAACAATCTCATGTGCTCCCCCTTCTTTTGAGGACATCTCTGTTTTCTGCCTAACCAACAGAAATGACAGGTCTTCCTAATTTTGTTCCCACTATGCAACTGTCCTTCAACCTACCACGCTTCTCATCTCCCACAAAGTCTAGGTCACAGGCAGTATCCCTCCAGTGAGGTGTACTAGACAAGACTCCTTTCAGATTCCACTCAAACCCCAGCAACACCGACCCTACACATACACACACACACACACACACACACAATGAGCTAAAGAGGTTACTACAGTGGAACACAAGACACTTGGTCTCTTGCTCTCAAAGCAGAAGGCTGTCCCTTCTAGCTTACAGTGCTAAAAATAGGAAATCAAACACAGGTAGAATGTTGACATAGAGAGCAAATAATTTTTCACTTATATGTAGTTTCATTGTAGGCTACCAGATACACACACATTACAAATATATAAAACAAAATTATTTAAGAGAACATAAGTCAAAGTCAATTCACATGAGCAGGAATACTGTATTTCTTTGCATATCAATTTAAGAAAAATTATTTCTAAGTCATATAAAACTTAATTAGTCATATAGCTTCCTTCAAATTAAGGTTTCTATTCTACTCCAGATGAACATGAATTAAAGTTGACATATAGTACTGCATTACAGTATCACAGAAATTTAAAAATAAATAGTAAGTGAATTGAAATGCATTATTCATACAAAGACTAAAAATCCTTCATATATGTTTAGCTCTCTTCTTTCTCCAAAACAAATAGAAAACTGCATGCATATCACAGATGACGAAAGGCAAAGTTGTTGCTACTACAATGGGAAAAAAATCATTCAAGGACAGTTTGTACTTTTTTTTGGTACTTATTTAAAAAATGGCTTTAGTCAAGCTGTCAAGAGTAGTGTCAGGTTTGATTCTCAAACGCAAAAATGCCAGTCCCAAAAAGCAACTTCAAAGTGTGCACCTGGCTTAAAACAAAATGCTCTGAAAACTTTCTATTTGTTAATTGGTGTAACTCACCCATTCAGGCCTCAGATCCCTTTGGACTTGCACACGCGCTTCCTACACACAGAAGTGGCCTGTTATGCAGCAACAACATCATAATGAAAAGCAACAATTCTATGCAGGCTCCACAGAAAAATCTCGTTTGCATTTCAAACAAGTTTCCTCAAAATAAGGGTGTCTTTTGATGAAATAAAATTGCAATTCCAGCTTCTTATTCCAGATAAAACAGCATTCACTACATAACTGGTCCTTTTATAACTGCATAATTTCACAGTTACCAACATATTTATATGACCTAACAAAACTAAGTTTAATAGTATGTATTTATGATTTGTTTCAGTAACTTGGGGACACTTATCAGCCTGATTTTTAAAGTACAGTATTATTTGAAAATACTAGTAATTTATTGTTAGCATTTTTCTGCCTTCCACTTGTTCTGATTTCAACCTCCGAGAGGCTGGCTTCCAGCAGGATTAAACTGATAGGAAGAAATGGCAACACTCTTTTCCTAACTTTATCATCAGCTCCATGATTCCCCATCGAAAGTCCTACATCTTTACGAATGGAACACACATACGCCCACAATAGTGACTCAAGGAGCTTCTCAACAGAGGCCCACTCCAAGCCATCAGTGAATCAAATCCAATGTCTCAGTCTGGGTGCACAGAAAGCCTATTCTGTCCCATTGATGCCTTAAAATAGCATATACTGAAAGAGAACATGAAAATGAATATATATGTGTATATGCATGACTGAGACACTGTGCTGTACATCAGAAACTGACACATTGTAACCGACTGTACTTCAATAAATAAATAAATAAACAGCATATACTTAACAACTCAGAATTCTAAAAATGTACTTAAACAGTATCACCATATTTAAAATCAACAAATATTGAGGGGGTTGGGTATATAGCTCAAGGGGTAGAGGGCATGCTTAGCATGCACGAGGTCCTGGGTTCAATCCCTAGTACCTTCTCCAAATATAAATAAATAAACCCAGTTACCTCCCCTTCATTAAAAAAAAACCAAACAAACCACAAGAGAAAAAAATCATTAAAATCAATAAATATTAATGCAAAAAAACAACAAAGACAAGATCTCCTCAATAAATCATAAAACTGTATGTTTCTACAGTTTAAGACCCCACGTCTAGTTTATAAAATCTACAATTTTACACATTTAAGTCACATATATTTTAAAATACTTTTTCACTTTTTACATGTTAAAAAAGCTTTTCCAAAAATGTAATTTGTGCTGAAAGTTTATGTAAACGCCTTCAGTTAACTTGTGCAAGGCAGAGAATAATCTTAATGGTTGATTAATTTTGATCTAAATCAAACCACCCTTCTCCCTCTGCCCAGCTCTGGGGCAAAAATGAAAAGAAAAAGGATGAATGCTAGATTTACTCAGTACGGGAGTAACATTTGCCAAACAAACAAAAATTCTGTTCGTTTTTAAACCCAACAGGCCCCCAAAGCTGAAAATCATAAAAATTGTATCACTTTTTAAAAAACCTGTATTGTGACTTCAATATTAAAATACTAGCCAAAATACAAAATGGCATTAAGTATTAATAAACCTTATCTTTTCAAAAACATTAATAAATAAACTATTTCTCTCTTGCTAATCAGGCCCTAACTAGAACATCTTTGTCCCCATATTCCTGAAGGTGTATATATATATATATAAAACTTACATCACTATGCATGGAAGAATGGCACAATTCAGTTCTTGATTAGGCAAGTCTTCTAAGACAAGTAGGGAGATGGTGAAAAGTAATGAAGAATGTTACACTGCTCTCACAGTCCACAGATCAACAGTCACTAAGAAAGAGCTGCAGAGCTCCTAAAAATAACCACCCAACTTCTCTAACACAATTTTCTACGTACCAGCCCTAGTTCCCAATTAAACAGTTAAGTGCCATAAAGGCAGAGACTTACACCTGGAAGGCAAATATGCCAGGCGGAGAGAATAGGTTTTGGAGTCAGACCCAGAGAAGAATCCTGGCTCCATTCTGACTAGCCATCCAATGTACAGAAACAGGAACAAGGAATACATGCCTCAAGGAGATATTGAGGGGAATCAATGACTTTGTAAGACAATACAACTTAACAGAGTGCCAGCTTTTAACAGTAACTCTTAGCTGCTTTACATTCTTCTGCCTATTTATCCCTCACAGTTTGCAGAAGACCTTCAGCCACAAAATACAAGCTCAATAAATATTTCTTAATCAACTGATACATTTATCTGACTTTAATTATGTACATAAAGGCTAGGGGATTTCCTCAGGTATTAAACAACTTTTTTAAAAACTCACCATTCAACCCAAAATTTTATACTTATTATGTTTTCTAATAGTCTAATAAAACATTAAGAAAGTTGTTTGGCTTATTATTTCTGGCCCTGGAATAGCTTGGTCAAATCGTCACAAATAGCTATATTCAATTCAACTTTACCAAGGCACAAAAATCAAGAATACATGCTTTCTGTAAATTCATTTACTGCTTTAAAGTTTTTAACTGTTCAGAAGTTACAGAAATTTTTTTTAAATCAGAAAAAAAAATTTACATCTCAAATACAAAAGAAAATTTTAAAGTATTCTTGGTTGATCTCAAAAACCCAACCACTTACACACTCATGATTTTTTTTACCAACCCACTGTATCTATTCAACACGTGCATCCTGGGTACTTACTAAACATTTGTTTGCACTTGCATTTTCTGTGTCAGGTTTACTTTGATGTGGAGCTTCTTTAAAAAGCTAACTGAATTTGTCCAATAGAAAGTCTCATGTTTTTTGGAAAACCAGTGCTGCCACACTGTTTCCAGATCTGCCCCCAAAGCTGAACCTGGGTGTTGGCAGCTCTTCGAAAAGTTCAAATCCTGTCAGACAAAATTAAAATACTTTTATTAGGGTCAGAATCCCACAGTTATGGGATATTTGTATTAACAACGTACAATGTACTTTTGGGGCAGGGGGAATGACAATGTACTTTCAAACCTTGTATAAAACAATGTAATTCCAAACTCTAAATTGTGACTAAATCTCACTTTACAATTTTTCAATTCTACTATATGTGTACACAGTATGTGTATACACCCAAAAACACTATGAAATGAACAAGGAACACACAAAATCAAATTGAAGAAAAGAGGTTTTCCATCCACCCCCCATTTCCTCCACTTCCTGCTTATCATTCCTTCAACTCTGTGTCTTCTCCACTGGCCTCCTTTACCTCTAGTTGTAGGAAGCAGCTATCATGTGTTAAGGTCTTACCATGGATCAGGCACTGTTTTGAGTGCTTTATATGCAGTAACTCAATTAATCTATATCACACATATAAAAGCGCTCAATACAGAAAAGTCAAATAACATGGAAATAAAAATGAAAAAGTCCTGGAGACGGCTGGAGATGATGGTTGCACAAGGAAGATGTGTTCAATGCCACATATCTATACACTTAAAAATGGCTAAGTGGTAAATTTTATGTTATGTATATTTTACCACAATAAAAAAGAGTTTGTAACCAAAGATCAAGACCCAAACTGAACCGAACTTGGGGACAAGGAAGTAGTAACTTTGAAAGCGGCATAGGGTGACTTTTTTTTTTTTTTTAACTAAAATGGATTCAGAAATGCTGGGTTCAAGCCCCAGTTCTACCACTTACTAGGTGAAAGATACGCTGGTCAATTTACCTTAACCAGGATCCTCAGTGTCTGTGCAAGGAGGTTACAGGCATCAATGCCCCTATCTAACTCAGAGATTCTGTGAAGATCAAAATGCAGAAACGTGATGTTCTCTTAAACTATAAAACAGAGTGGACATTTAATATTTTATAATTTTGTTTTTAAAAAAATAAGACAAATGAGGGTAGAAGGTCACTCTTAGTTAACCATGGTTTTCCCTCAGTAATGGAACTATTTATTAGTTTGGGAGAGTTATTTTTCTTTTGGGGAAAAAGGTGTCTCCTTTTTCTAAGTTTCCATGCCTTGAGCTTGAGCTCAAATAACTCTTGTAAACAAAAATGCTTAAAAGGATAGACATTACTGTATCAATTGGTCTTTTATATTTTGTTTCATAATTCATATTCTTAATTTAACTTCATCAAATCTTTATAACTAAATATTATAATGCTCATTAAAAACTGATAACTTTCCCAAAGAAGGCCAAGCCTTTTAAATAACATGATATATGTTGGTGCTAAAAAATGGAGCCACTAATCTTAAAAAAAAAAAGGACACAAATGAACATATCTACAAAAAAGGAACAGACTCACAGACAAACTTATGGTTACCCAGAGCTGAAGTGGGTGGGAAGGGATAAATTGATAATTCGAAAGTTGCACCTCTTGGGGAAT